TACAAATTGAGTAAAACATTCTATTCATTGCTGTATCATATTTTAACCATTTATATATGTTGACCAAAAACTTTTTTATCTGTTAGATTTTGAGTACCCAAATTATATTTCCCATATAATTCTTGAATTTTATCATTATCAATTTTTATAGTGCCTTTTAAAGTAGTAACATATCTCTCAAGATTATTCTGTAAAGAATTTATATCAGTTGAAAGTTGAGCTGAATTATTTTCATCTTGAAAATTTAATGCAGATTGATCAATTGAATTTTCTTTTTTCAATTTTTCTATAGCCTCAATCATAACAACTTTGTTGTGAATATCTGCCTCAAGCTCACCAATCTTATTGTCTGCATAATTCTTATATTGCAGTAATTTATCATTGTTATTTTCCTTTTCTTTTTCTAACTTTCTAATTTTCTCATTGAAGGATAGTCTTTCCTTTTCCTTTTCTGCATTCAAACTAGCAGTTTTCTTATCATAAAGTGCCTTAATTATTCTTTGACCATTAGACAAATTAATGTTTTGTATTACTAAATTTTTAATTTTTTCTTTGTCTTGTGGCTCTATTTCATGCTGATATCTGGCTAATTCATATGTAAAAGCTTGATTGTCTCTAACCAATCTTTCATTTTCTTTAATCAACTTGTGATTATTCCCCTCCAGAATTTTAATTTCCTCAATGGTTTTTTGTTGATCTATATCTAAACTTATATTTAAAATTTGTTTTTCAATTAATTTTCTGAAGTCATTACGTTTTTCATTTTCTTTTAGCAATTCAATATATTTTTGATAATAATTGATGTTTTCAGAATATTCACGGTCGGAATTTTTTGACTCTGTTTCAATTTTAGAGGAACTTTGTTCTAGACGAGTATTTATTCAGTCTTATTAAATTAATATGACTTTTTAGTGATGTGCAAAAATTATAAAAACTCTTACCATTTGAAATTTGAGAGATCTGGCTATTTTCATTTTTATTGGTATTAGAGTCCATAACAATAGCAATAGCAGATGTTTCGGTTTTATTCCCGGAGGTAGGTTTTTTTGTATTATCAAATTGAGATTTGCTTTATGATTGTGTGACTTCGTCACCTGAAAAAAGTCATGTAACACGAATTTTACCATATAGATAGATTAAATATTTAATATTAAATATCTGTGAATTTTCCCCATATTTAATATTAATATTAATTCTTTGTATTCCGTATGTATTCCCCAATTTCATTTTTGGGGGAGGAATTAATGGTTCTTATTGAAGCAAGTTACCAAGAAGATTGATTGTAATTTATACCAGCAAGAATCTAAAATGAGTTAATAAAAAGATAAATAATTTAATAATTTTAATAATTTATTATAATCTTGCAATCTATTTGGTAATAAGAATTCTGCAATCTTTGAAAATACACATTTTCTTTTATGACTAATTAAAGCATAAATTCTCATTTCAAATTTTAAATTTAACGTGTATATATGTCACACACAACTTTGAAAAATTTAATTTCTGCGCTGAACTTATTTGTCACCATCGAACAAATCATAAAAAATATCGAAAAAGAAAGTACTATTTTTGTGAATTTCAACATGTTCCAAATCTCGATAACGAAAATCTGTATTGAAAATCGTAAACTAAAGGGTAACAAAATCATTTAATATTAACATAACAAAGAAATCACAGGTATCAAATTTAGATTGTGATGTTAACTGTCTCACCGAGTGTTCGTTTTCAATCACTAATATCCTTTGTATGGCATAAGCCGAAGAGTTATTCAAGGGATCTAAACTAATTACCAGTTTATTTTTTCTCTTTAGTTTTGTTTCTACTTTCCCATATCACATTACAGTTCTTGATAATACCGCTGCTTTGTGTTTGAACATTATAAAAACACCACAGATTATCTTAAAGGCATGAAAAAATAGTCAATCTTTAAATGCTAAGTCTCAATAACTATATTCGGAAGTGGAGAAAACTTTATATTTTTATTACAATCTTTAGAGCCTAAGAAACAATGCTGTAGAAAACTTTTTTCATAAAAAAAGCTTTAGGGGCTTGAAGTAGAACGATTTTACTACCAAAAATGAAATTTGGCCAAGGAGATTTACCAGGTGTTGGATTTTATTATTATTGATTGACTTACAAATACAGTATATCGATGGATTCAACCACTAAAGAAAAGGTTATACCAAACCAAGAGATCAAACTGAAACAATTAATAATTAAGAACCATATATCTTGTATAAATGACTGTTCACATAAATTAAACAGATACATCAAAAGTTTCTACACGTTTCAAAATTGGTCTATCTAACATACAAGTCATTCTTGTATAATTAAACTGTATCGTTATTTGTATATATTGTATGTATAATAAAGTATTTTCATTTTATTTGATAAATGGAATTCAAAATAGTAACTATAAAATTATATAACATGTATGTATTTAGATTTTACCTTTTTTAAAATATATATATGTTAGAGCAACACCATTTCTATTCTTGCTCTTATTTTCTGATTATAATATGTTGCTTGCTGAAGCATTTTTGTGAGATTCGGTTTAAATCCTTTTTGTTTGATTTTACATTTTAGGTTTTAATAAATTTCCTCAAGTATATAGTTCTTTGTTTTTTGTGTCTTTTTGTTCTTCTATCTGACTTAATATGTCATCGAATTCATATGTTGTGTTACTTATTACACTTCCTATTGTTGTTACTGAATCGTTATTTTGTTGAAACATATTCATGGGATTTCACTAACACTACTGTTGTCTGTCCCTTTTTGCAGCATGATTTATATAGGCGAAGTTATGTTGGACAAGGTAGATAACCAGTGTATTGTGTATTGAAATTTTAACTTTTTTGTGCTAGTCACACGACTACCTGTAGGTAGATAACGTTTTTTGTGTACAGAAAGTTTAGATAACATCACAATGGTTCACTTTTCATTCCCATGCTTCCTAAAAAATTCAGTTCAGGAACAAAAACTTTAGCAAGAGGACCAATTAAGGGAACTAACTTAGTTATTTGATCAGGAATATTATTATTTAATTTTAAAATTTTTTGAGTAATTGCACTATGAATATATGACTGGCCAAGCCAGTCAGCTGATATTGGGATTATTTGTTTGAATATAATCTTGAATTTCAGAAAATTGAAATAAAAATTTGCTGCTTTTAAATAATCATCCAGTGATTTAAGATTCAACTCTTGAAATTCAATCAACTTAACACAATCCATTGTACGTATATTATACATATCTTCTTGAATCCAGTTGGTATTGTATGAGTGAATTGATAATGTGTTTATTAATTCTTTTTCAGGTAAGAGAGTCATTTCTGGAACTGACCAAAATGATTTTCTATTTATATAACTAACACTAAATTTGTTCATATATGTATTATATAAATAATATATTAAACTATTAGAGTCTACAAGATTTGGATTATGTACTTTGAATCCAGATGGAGATAAGTAATAAATTGAAGGGATATTTGGAGTATTTATTGTCATAGTCATCATATGTGCAACTTGTGAAGTTGAAGTAGTATTTGGCATTCTTGATTGGTGTATGTCATGATAGTCATCTATATTTAAAATAAAAGTATTAATTTTCTAAAAAAAAATTTTTAATTTTAATTTTAATAAATAATATATATATTATAAAATAAAATATAAATAAAATTATTTACCTTTTTTTTAAATATTCTAGTACACTCAAAGCATGATCTTTTTCTATTTTATTCATTTTGTTAATTAATGAACGATAAGTAGTTGATAAGCCAACATTTGATAGCATGTTAATTCCAGAACATGATGTGCCAGTTCCGACTAAAAACAATCCCATATCATCTTTAAAATAAGTACAATGTTTATTTCTAATACTTACTAACTGGTAAATTAATACCATAATTTTTTTTTTAATACTTTCAATTGTTTTTTGATTTTTATTTTTAATATTTGTTGATTAAACTAATGTATTAAAAAAATGAACAAATCCAGGATGTTTATTACTCACATATTCCATAAAATTGTTTACATTATAGATTGGATTTATTTTTTCCTTATGTTGAGCATCGTATAAAATTTTTGTTAAAATTTCTATTTCTTTTGTAAAATATTTACAAAAATTTGTTTCTTCTAAAAATAAATAAACAGTAATATTAAAATAAGTATAATAAACATATATATAAAATGTAAAATTTTTTGATGCTTTTATATTATATTTAAAATATAAATTATTTGCCTGATATTAAAAATAATTCATCAAAATTTTCTTTTAATTGGTCTAATTCATTTTGTATAAATTGAATATTTGCCTTAAGTTGAATATTTTCTGATGATTTATTTATTAATTCATTATATTCAGCTTCATGTAAAATAAATTTTCTTTTTTTTTCATGTAATGGTAATTTTAAACAAAAATTTTCATCATCATTATTCTTATTATTCTTATCATTCCTATCATATACTACAAGATCATTGTAACATTTATGGCATAACTGTGAACCTATTTCTAAAACACATAAATTCTCTTTGTTATTAGACAAAACTTTTCGTAAGGAATCTTCATTTAACTTCTGGAAGGTAGTGTTTTCATAATTGCTAAAATTACAAATTTCACAAGGTCCAAAATTGCTTCGTTTCCTTCCCATATTCACACCAAAAAGTTTACTAATAAAATGTCAATGGAATTTCTGATCTTTTCTGATCTAGACTTAGAATATATGAAGGCGTTTATGTGCAAAATTTGAATACACATTCATTATTACACTTTACCCTGGCATTTGGTTACACTATTGTAATTCTACTTTAAACAATATAAATAATTATGTTACACGAAAAATAGAATTTCCACCATGCTTACATATTAATTATTTATCCTATTGGTTCTTTTTTTGGGAGGACAGACGCAAATTGTTTTTTTTTTTTTTGGGGAAA